CGTAGGCAGCAGGCTCCGCCCCCGCGGGCGCCAGGTTCGCGCGTGCCCGGAAAGCCCCTCGCCGGCTGCGTCCCTCCGGCTCCTCCATCTGGTTCTCAGCAGGCTGTGCGGCACGGATCAAATGCGTCGTGTTCCCCATCGCCACCACCCTATTCAAAGCACTAACCTTGCAAAATGTAAACTAGCCTGTCCTTACCACGTGACCAGTTTGTCCTCTTTATGGATTCATTGCCTTGCCTGCCATCACCATGCTGCTCGGTAAGCCCCAGCACAGTGCTTCCTAAACTTGGCTGCAGGCTAGAAGCACATGGAGATCTTTTAAAACTCCTAACCCCAGACCAATTAAATTACAATTTCTGGTGGTGGGAAACCAGCACCAGCACTTCAGAAACTCCCTGGGTGACTCCACTGCTGAAAGGTTTGGGAACCCCGTCCTTAGGGCCTTGCTGCTCAGCGTGGGATCTGTGGACCCTCAGCATCATTAGAAACACCTCCCGTCTACTTGAATCAGAGATCGCCGGACATTAACATTTGAAAAGCGCTAGACTGCAGTGGCTCTCAACCTTCCTAATGCCACGACCCTTTAATACAGTTCCTCATGTGGTGGTGACCCCCAATTTCATTGTACAAATTGAACATAATTAAAGCATAGTGATTAATCACAAAAACAATATGTAATAATATGTGTTTTCCGATGGTCTTAGGCGACCCCTGTGAAAGGGTCGTTCGACCCCAAAGGGTCGCGACCCACAGGTTGAGAACCGCTGCACTAGAGGCTTAAATGATGTATATCTTGATTTATGGAGACCACGTGTTTAAAGGTTGTCCTTGAGTGAGAATAACATGATGGATGGCCTGATGTTCCGCCAGGTCTGTATTTTTCACCTCCTGCATCATTCCAAATCATTATGCAAGCCCTTGTCTGAGTCCGATGAACAGGTTCCAACAGAGACCAAGTCAGTGTCCAGCAGTCAGCCCTGACCTGGACTCTGACATCATGCTCAGTCCTGAGCCTCAGTCTTCACATCTTTAAAGTGGAGATGATGCTAATAACACCTGTCACATGAGGACTGAGAGGGTGTCTGGGACATGCGTCCACTTGTTGCTCTCCTCACTGGCCACTCCAGCCCTCTCCAGGGTACAAGTCCACACACATTCCTCCTACAGCTCCGAAAGTCTTACATAGTTTCCCTTGTGTTGAATATTTTCTCACCTTTATACTGGACTGTTAATACCCACCTGTTACAGTCATTTTTTGAATGAATGAGATTATATTTAATCTCTGCCCCCTGGGCTGGCACTTTTAACACAAACTTTTAGTTTTCCCAACAACTCTGCTTATAAAGCTGCTTCTAGGATCCAGGCCAGGCCTTTTTTTCCTTTTTCTTTCCTGTGAACTGATCCATTGCTCTACCTCTTTCCTCTTTTACTCCTCAATGTGTTTTCCCAGTGTCCCACATTTCTAAATGATGAGTAGATTTTTATTTTTATTTGAACATCATGCAGTGACCTCAAACACCACATAATTTGTAAGTCAAACAATCTCACCATCTCCATCTGGCTACACCCTCTCTCTCTCTCTCTTTCTCTCTCTCTCTCTCTCTCTCTCTCTCTCTCTCTCTTCAACCCACCCTTCCCCTCTCCCTTCAGGCTTTAGGCCCTCACAATCTGACCATCCCTGCCTTTCTCTCCAGGTCAGCTTCTTCTATAAGACACAGAGTTTCTGCCCTTGTGACTGTGGTTTGCCGAGGGTTTGGGTCAACCCAAGCAGCCTGGACCTTCCATAATCTGGCTCCTTCACACGCCCTGGCTAATGACTCCTGAAAGAGTCTTTGGCCCACCTGGGGCTCAGGCTCTTCCCCAAACAACCCAAACAGCTTCAGCCTGGAAGTGATAAGACTGTGGTTCTTGTGGGTTAACCTGGACATAACTCTGGTATGCCTGTTCCAGCTAGAAGATTGTGTCCACTTGCCTCAGCTTTGCACCTGCCCTTTTCCATGTAACTTTGTTCCTCCCATAAAGGAGACTGGAGATATTTTCTCTCTCCTTAACTCTAAGTTCAACTGTGTGACTGACTTTGGCCAGGCAAACAGTTTATACTTGTATTATTTGTTATTGTATTATTTTCCATATGAACAACTGTAAACCTACTTTTGCCCCACCCTATATATATATTATGTATTATAGTATCTTCATTTTCTTTTTTTAAAATATATTTTATTGATTTTTCACAGAGAGGAAGGGAGAGGAATAGAGAGTGAGAAACATCGATCAGCTGCCTCCTGCACACTCCCTACTGGGTATGTGCCCACAACCAAGGTACTTGCCCTTGACTGGAATTGAACCTGGGACCCTTGAGTCCACAGGCCAATGCTCTATCCACTGAGCCAAACCGGTCAGGGCAGTATCTTCATTTTCTATTCTCACACCCAGTAAAATAAACAGTCATTCCTTAAAACCATCTAATACCTAGAGACCCTCAAACTCAGCATATTTGAGACTGCTCTCCTCTTCCCCTCCTCCTCCACCAAGGTCTTCTTTTTCCAATGAGTGTGTTCACTGTCCACCCAGCTGACTGACCCATGGCTTTTTTCTTCTCTCACACGCTGCATTAATAAAATGTCCCATCACTGTTGGTTTTATCTCCCCATCTTCAGTTACACCCAACCAAGGACCTGAACCTTCAAGTTTCCATGTTGTCTGTGATCCCCTCAGAAAAGGGGTGTCTAGGGATCAAAACAGTCTACTCCCCAACCATGTAGAGAATTCTGCTCAGAGGCCACCCTTCCCCAAACTGTCCCAGAGCTCCCCAGTTCTCCCCCAGACCTTCTAACAATAACCAATATAGTATTAAAGAAAAAAAGTGTATATAGTAGCATTAGAAGGGAGAGCTCTGGAGTCAGGAAGGCACTAAGAGACCATTATTGTCAGTAGAGTGGAAGGTCTGGGTTCGAAAGGATGACCATGAGACCAGAAAAGAGGAGGCAGGTAGGAGACATTCACCTGCACAGGTAAAAAGGTAATTCAGTGATGGAATAGTTAGAAGCATGGGCTCTATAGTTTGGCAGATCTACTTTGAATCCTGGCTCTACCATTTCCTTTTGACAAGGAAATAATATTTAGTCCCTCTAAACTTAGTGTTCTCTGTGTAATGGGGATGATACCTATGCCACAGGGTTGTTGTGAGAATTATATGAGACAATTAATTCATGTGAGATGCATAGCACATAATAAATAATTAAAAGTGGTAGCCTTTATCCCCACTCCCCTCCCACTTGCTTCTGGCTTTCATTCCTAAACTAGAGTTGTGACTGACAGACTTCAAGGACGGCCCCCAGTAATCACTGTTTCCTGATATTCATGTCCTTGTGTGATCACCCCTTTCCTTGGGTATGGACTGGGCCTTGTGAACTGCTTCTAACTAACAGAATGTGGCAAGGTGAGGGGATGTGCTGGAATGTGGAGTACTGGGGCTTCCATCTTCCTGGTAGACTCTCCTCTGTTATCTTCTTGGCTTGTACACTTTGATGAAATGAGCTACCAGGTTGGCGAAGCCCACCAGACAAAGAATTGAGGGTGGCCTCAGTCCAACAGCCACCTAGGACCTGAGGTCCTCCGTCCAGCAGGACTGAATAGGGACTGAATCCTGCCAACAACCATGTGGCTTAGAAGCAGATTTTTCTTCAGTGAGTCTTCAGATCAGATCCCAGCCCCGGACAGCCTTCTCCTTCATTACAGCCTGGGAGAGACCCTGAAGCAGGGAACCCAGTTAAGCTATGCCCATATCCCTGACCCACAGAAATTATTATAAGACTAGAGGCCCGGTGCACGAAAATTTGTGCACTGGCAGGGGAGGCGGGGAGGGGGCGTCCCTCAGCCCTACTTGTGCCCTCTCACAGTCTGGGACCCCTCGGGAGATAGCCACCTGCTGGCTTAGGCCTGCTCCCTGGGTAGCAGATGGCAGGCCTGATCCCTCGGTGCCTGTCCCACCTCCCCGGGTTGCGCACACAGCAGGCCGAATCGGGGGTTGGGGCGCCACCCTGGGTCAGGTCACACACGGGACGCTTGGGTGGGTCAGCCGATTGCTGCTGCCCCACCCAGCAGCCCCGGTCGGGTTGCACACGGGATGCCTGGATGGAGGCCGGCGGGCTGGCCGATCACTGCTGCACCACCCAGCCACCCCAGGTCACATTGCACATGAACGCCCGCCGCACCAGGTCACAAATAGCAGGCCTGGATGGCGGCAGGGCAGGTGGGATAGCACTGTCCTGCCCTGCCTGCAGTATGCAAATTAGCCACCATCTTTGTTGGTGGTTAATTCGCATATTGTGCTGATTAGCCAATGGGAGGAGTAGCGAAGGTATGGTCAATTACCATGTTTATCTATTATTAGATAGGATATTAAATACATGTTGGTTTAAGCCACTAAGTTTGGTAATTTGTTATGTAGTATAACCAATACATAAAGTCAGTCTTTTATTACATAAAATAACGCCTGACCTGGTGGTCCTAAACTCACACTGAAGAGAGAGCATCTGAACAAAGAGGGTTCTGACAGGAGTGGGCCTCTGACTCAGCATCCAGCCATTATACAAGCTTCTTTCTAATAAAAAACCAGATTCATGGTGAGACCAGAATGAGCATAGTTATGGTGATAATGGGACACATACTAGCAAACAGCTCGAATGTGGACTGCCCTGGCAGATCTCAATGTATAGTTCCTTTAATTCCAATTTTACTCCAATCTTCTAATGTTTACTTCTCCCAGATGGGTCCAGCACAGCCAAGGTGGTTATATAAGGCCATTGTCCTTGTGCTTGGCAAGGACCTGGGCATCATCCATGAAACACACCTGTAACTTAAGCAGAACATGCTCTTCTTTTATAGGCATGCAGTAGGAAGACCTTCCGATTGGGTCCCAATTGCCACTAACTATCTGAATATGACTTTGGGCAACTCTTCCCAACCTGCTTTGCCTCGTCTGTAAAACAGAGGAGACCCTTCCTACCTCCCTCAGAGAGTTGCTACATAAGAACTCAGCAGTTAACTTCTCTGTGCCTCAGCTTCTTCATCAGTCAACTGAAGACAACAGTACCTACCTCACAGGTTGTGAGGATTAAACAAGAAAATACATGTAGC